GACTCACCACAAAGACCAGTCCAGGTCCAGTCCAGGCTGACAGGGATGAAGACCAGTCCAGGTCCAGTCCAGGCTGACAGGGATGAAGACCAGTCCAGGTCCAGTCCAGGCTGACAGGGATGAAGACCAGTCCGGGTCCAGTTCTGGTTCAGACTCAGAGAGACCCACAAACTGACTCATTTATATTCAGGGTCATGAGACACGCCTGCTGCTGAACACAGGGAGGACCAAAACAAACACTGGAAAATCCTGACTGCAGTGAAGGCAACACAAAAACTGAACCAGAACACAAACTGGACCAACAAAACTGCTCGACTGTTAACAGTTAACTAAGTGTTAACTAAGTGTTAACGAACCGTTAACTAAGCGTTAACTAAGTGTTAACTAAGTGTTAACGAACCGTTAACGAAGCGTTAACTAAGTGTTAACTAACATAATCTTCACTGGCTGTCAGTTAATTTTAAAACTCTGGTTTAAACTGTCACAGTCTTACATGGTGAAACTCCATCATTTATGTCAGATTGGATCCAGCTTCACATCATCTCACAGTCTGAGGTCATCAGGTCAGAGGTTGTTGGTTTAAATCCAGAGGGGATCAGTGTTTATGTTTTACTCTACTCTTGTATGAATGTAACACTGTGGAGAAGTTTTCATTTACTATTTTACTTTATTGTTTTTATTTTATTTTATGTGAATCACTTTGTGATTTTATATCTAAGACAGGTGCTTTATTTATAAACTTTACTTATAAAAACCAGAAAACATCCAGAACTCAGACCAGTCCAAAAACTGAACCAAAGACCAGAGGGATGACCCCAAACACCGGTCCACAGACCAACCCCAAAGACAGACCTGGGAACAGACCTGAGGCCGACCCCACAGACAGACCTGGGGACAGACCTGAGGCCGCCCCCAAAGACAGACCTGGGAACAGACCTGAGGCCGACCCCACAGACAGACCTGGGGACAGACCTGAGGCCGCCCCCAAAGACAGACCTGGGAACAGACCTGAGGCCGCCCCCCAAGACAGACCTGGGGACAGACCTGAGGCCGCCCCCAAAGACAGACCTGGGAACAGACCTGAGGCCGCCCCCCAAGACAGACCTGGGGACAGACCTGAGGCCGCCCCCAAAGACAGACCTGAGGCCGACCCCCAAGACAGACCTGAAAC